ACTTCAACGGAAGGTTTCCAGATGGATATGCGGAGCAAATCCATCTGGCGGAGTCAGGTTAGAAGTCATTGGCCTGTGCTTAGTAATCTGGTTAAGTACTCTTCACTTTAAACACTGATTAATTGCTCTAAATGAGCTTAAATGCAATGCAATTAAGAAAAAAAACAGCATTTCTAAATCTTAAGTTATTTAAAGTATTTCTTTATGCACCTGATCTTCACTCTTTTCCTTTTGCCACTTTCCCTCTGTTCAGCGGTCGGTCGTAAGGACAGTGACCTTAAGCAAAGTGAGTAAAAGCATCCCATGAATGATTAACGCATCCCCCCACCCCCCACCATTTAGAGTCTCTGCAGAATACAGCTTTAAAATTCACCCAAGTACAGACTGCAAACGTCAATTATTCATCTGCTTGCCTGGTGTTGCTTGAAGTGAGGACGTGCAGCGGCTAAGTGGCTCGTTCCTGGGGTAAATGTAAAAGTTTGCACACCTGTGAAGAACTGCAGAGACCACAAAGAAGACGGGGGACCTCTCAGAATTCTGCAGCATGCTCTTTGTAGGATCATCCAATAGATAACCCAAGGACAAATGATCAAAGACAGCTTGTGCCTGCCAGTCAGGATGACAGGCGCAGCTCTTTGTTGTTGTTCCGACGCTGCTGTACAATCATGCTCCGTTTAACATACATGGAAGAAAATGAGGCAGAGGCCTCTGAGATGTTTGCTGCGGCTGAGCTTTGCACAAACAAAGACGTTAACTGTCATGATGAATGTGATGCCTGGATCTGGTTAAGGCTCTGCTCAAACAATGTTTGTAATTACATCCACCCCCAGGCTGATGCAAACACACTTCTCTTCATCTGACATGCTCAGCGGGATGGTTTTAAAAAAAATCTTTCCCATCCGACTGGAGTGGGTTAGGATTTAAACTGTAAACTTTAATTTAAGACGACAAATTTAAACTAATCCAAAAGTACAATAAGCTTGTTTCAGCCGTTTTTGTTTTCGTCACTTCAGGCACCCAGGCTTCCAAAGGTTTAAAAAGTTGCTACTTCAAAATCATAAATATTTTTCGTACATTTGGGTCCTCCTCTTTTAAGAAGCCTATAGTCACCTTGGCTTTATGAATATCTGTGCCATTAGCTTATTATGCCGTTCCAGTCTAATTATCACAGCCTGTTGGCTAATTATATTTAATTTATGAGTTTTACACCTTTATTTTACTCTATAGTGTTATATACCTTTATGTATTTATGTATTTATCCTAACAATGTCAGATACCCATTTCACAAAGCATGTTAAAAACATACGGAGACTCAATTTCTCAACTCTGAATTGATCTAACATTAAAAACAGCAATTATCAAACCATTGTTGAATAAGAATAGCTTTGACAAATGAATTCCTGCAGAACTACAGGCCCATATCGAAGCTCCACTTTCACTTCATCAGTAAGATTATTGAAAAAGTTGTGTTTAAACAGTAAAATGCCTTCGATAACAATGACCAGTTGCTTTGATGTCTTCCACTCAGGTTCCAATGCTAACCAAAGTACTTAAACTTCCCTGTTTAATGTGTCCAATCACAACTGTATAAATTGAGACTGTAGAGGAACCACAGAGCTCGTATCAGTGCAGCGTTTGATAGTGTTGATCACTTGATTTATCAGAGCGTTACTTCTGATAAAATCAAGTTCTGGTACTGTAACGGACTTGTTTAAATCCTACCTGAAGAACAGAGACTTCTATGTATCAGTAGGGAACTTTAAATCAGAGATTTAAATCATATTTGAGATTCCTCAAGGCTCCATTCTTAACCTCCTCCTATTCAATATCTACATGCTACCTTTAGGTTATATTATAGCACAAAACAACAGTTACCATACATGTACAGATCACACACAGCTTTACATCACAATGTCACCAGATGACTATGAGCCCATAAGACTGTTGGCTAGATGCTTACAGATCAATATGTGGATTTGACATAAACTACGATTTAATAAAACCAGACTAAGGTAATAATTTTCATACCAAAGAGGAGAGATCCAGAGTTAGATCACAGCTTCAACTACTACAGCTAGAAACCACTGATTATGGCTGAAATCTTGGTGTCAGACCTGAACCTTCAGAGGCACATAAAGGCAGTTAGCAGGTCAGCTTTTTATCACTTGAAGAACATTTCCAGGATTAAAGGACTGATGACCAAACAGGATCTAGAACAACTCATCCTTGCATTTATCTTTAGTAGAATTCATGATTGCAACAGTGTCTTCATAGGTTTGCTTAAAAGTCTGTCAGAGAGCTGCAACTGATCTAAAATGCTCTGGAAAAAATCTAAATCTAGATACGTAATTTTTTCTTAAAATAAGTGCATTTGTTCTTGGATTAAGGAG